TTTGTGTTGTGAATTTCTACTTTTATGGCTTTATGGTCAGAAAATATGCTTTGTAATATTTCGATGTTTTGGATTTTGTTAAGGCTTGTTTTGTGGCCTAATATGTGGTCTTTCCTGGAGAATGTTCCATGTGCGTTGGAAAAGAAAGTATACTTGGCTGCTGTTGGGTGCAGTGTTCAGTATATGTGTATGAGAGCAAGTTGGTTGCTTGTAACATTTAACTCTTCTGTGTCTTTGTTGGGCTTCTTTCTGGATGTTCCATCCTTTGCCAAAAGTGGTGTATTGAAGTGTCCTACTACTATTGTGGAGCTGTCTGTCTCTCTTTTCAGTGCTGTTAGAGTTTGTTTTATTATTTTGGAGCCCAGTTGTTGGGTGCGTAAATGTTTATTATACTTATGTCGTGGTATATTGATCTTTTAATTATTATATAGTGTTCTTCAAGTCTGTTTTGTCAGAGATTGATATTGCCAGTCCTGCTCTTTTGAATGTTGTTTGCTTGATATGTTTTTTTCCATCCTTTGAGTTTTAGTTTGTGTCTTTAAGTTTGAGGTGTGTCTCTTGTAGGCGGCATATAGACGGATTGTGTTTTTTTATGCAGTCTGCCACTCTCTGTCTCTCTATTGGCGTGTTTAGTTTGTTTACATTCAGCATGATTATTGGTAGGTATGAATTTAGTGCTGTCATTTTGATGTCTTTTTTTGTGTGTGTTGTTGACAGTTTGTTTCACTTAATTTTCTGTGCTGAGTCATTTTTCTTTATTTTGTTTTCGTTTTTTTCATTGTTGAATTTGTGTTTTCTGAGTCTTTATATTTTTCTAGTTTTTTATTTTGATTTGTAGGATTGTTAGTTTCCTTTGTGGTTACCTTAGTATTCACCCCTATTTTTCTTAGTTTATTCCAGTCTTTTGTTTATATCGCCTTGCCTTCCTCTCCATATGCAAAATCTATGTCTACATTTTTAAAGCCCCTCTTTTTTGTTTTAATATTGTCATCTCTTAGATATTGATATGTTTCCCTATTTTCAGTGTTTTAGCTTTAATTTACTTCTGTGATTTCCCTATCTGGGTTGACATCTGGTTGCTTTGTCCTGTCTTCTAGTCTTGGGTTGTTATTTGATGTTACTGATTTTCTAACCGGAGGACTCCCTTTGTATTTATTATAATTTTGGTTTGGTTTTTGCAGATTCCCTAAACTTCTGTTAATCTGGAAATGCCCTAATTTCGCCATCATGTTTGAGAGACAGATATGTAATTCTTCCTGGCAGTTTTTTTCCCTTCAAGGCTTTATATACGTCATCCCATTGCCTTCTTGCCTGCATGGTTTCTGCTGAGTAGTCTGAGCTTATTATTGACTCTCCTTTGTAGATGACTTTTTGTTTATCCCTAGCTGCTCTTAAAATTCTCTTATCTTTGGTTTTGGCAAGTTTGATTATAATATGTCTTGGTGACTTTCTTTTGGGATCTACCTTATGTGTGGTTCGATGAGCATCTTGGATAGTTATCTTGGATCTTTCACGGTATCAGGGAAGTTTTGTGCTAACAAATCTTCAACAGTTCTCTCTCTATCTTCTGTTACCGCCTCCTCTTCTGGTACTCCAATCACTTATAGGTTATTCCTCTTGATAGAGTCCCACATAATTCTTAGGGTTTCTTCATTTTTTTAAATTTCTTTTATCTGATTTTTCCTCAAAGAAGTTGGTGTCCAGTGCTTTATCTTCACTCTCAGTAATTCTGACTTATGTCACCTCATTTCTGCTCCTATGACTTTCTATTGAGTTGTCTAATTCTGAAATTTTATTCTTAGTCTTCTGGATTTCTGATTGCTGTCTCTCTATGGATTCTTGCAGCCTGTTAAATTTGTCATTATGCTGTTCTCTGATCTTTTTAATTGCCTCTATTGGGTGTTCTGCGTTTTGCTTAATTTCCTTGTAACTTCTTGAAGAGTTCTGTATATTAATCTTTTGTATTCTGCCTCTGGTAATTACAAGAAATTTTTCTCCTCTGAAAAATTTCTAGATTCTTTATTTTGGGAGCTTGCTGAAGCAATCATGGATTGCCTCTTTATGTGATTTGATATTGACTGTTTACTCTGAGCCTTCAATAAGTTATATTTATTTTATGTTTGCCTACTGTGTTCTAGCCTCTTGTTTTGTTTTGATATGCCCACATAGGCTGCTCGTATGAGCTAGTTTGATTATTGGCACCTTTGAAGCTCTAATGTCCTGTCACCAGGTGGTTAGATCTGTTACTAGGTATGTGAGCTCAAGAGTCCATCTACTCCTCCTGTATGGATTCAGCTCAGGTGCCCAGGTAGATAGCCACCAATGTGTGGTGTAGGCTCTCACTTACAGTCCTAGACAGGCATGGGTGATTGGTGTAGGCACAGGCATCTGGCTGCAGCAAGGGGACACACTGTGAGCAAGGCAGGGGGGCTGATGGCTGCCACCACATGTCCAGGAGGATGGCGTGTCCCTCTTCCCTAGAGCGCGTAGGTGGGTGGGTTTTGCAGCTGGACTATGAGCACCTGATGCTGTTGGCCGTAAGGACTGGGGGTCATCTCTTAATTCATAGGCCCCTACGCCGGTGGCTGGGTGGTGTGGGTGGAGCCACCAGTCCTCAGGCCCCTGATGTGGTAGGTGAAGACCCTACTTAATGGGTAGAGCAGTGTCAGTTGTCAAGAACCTGCCACTTCACAGTTGAAACAGTTGAAGTTAGACTTCAGATATATACCCTGTTGCAGTGTGGTAATGAAGTTCTACGCAGTTGAAATGGGCCCACACAAGTCTATGCAGGGGGAAAGGCACTCAAAGTCTGTGGTCCCTTGTGCCACCGCCTAGGCAAAGGAGCTCTGCCTACCCTGGGTTCCTGGCTTAGGGGAGCCAGCAGTTTATTTTTTCCCGTTTGTTAATTTGCTCTCTCCAAGGGTGGGAGAGAGGTTTTTCCCTAAGGAGGGTGATATTGATCTGTGCGGTAGTCTGTACGCAAGTACTTATCTTTCGCCGATCTAGGGCTGCTTCTCACTGGTTCTGGGTGGCCATGTAGACTCTTTGGTGCTGGGTCTCTCCTGGTGCGGAAAATGCACCTCCCAAGCACTGCTGTTTGCCTGCCTCACTGCTCACTCATGAGCTGCTCAGGCCTGAAGGGCTCAGGCTCTCGCTGGGTCAGGTGTGACAATTCCTTGCTGCTTCCGAACTGTCTTTCTCTCTCCCTGCCACTCATTCTGGTTCCTCAGCTCTGTCTTTGATGTTCAGGGCTCCCAGACTGCCATATATATAATCAATCCACTTATTTTTTCAGGTCTTTGATGTAAGAGGGTCTACCAGAAGCATCTGACGACTACGCCATCTTGGCCCTGCTTCTAGAACATTTTCTTAATAAACTTTGTTATGCCCATTGACCTTGATGTCCCCTGAAAGCATGGTCACCAGACCCCCACCCCTGCTACTCTGTCCCATGAAGTTTTTGATTGTATTCAGGAAACTTCTTAGCTTTGATTTAGTCCAGTTGTGCTGACTTCCCCAGTACAGTGTGCTGTCCTTCTCTTCACCTTAAGGTAATTCTTGTCTACTATCTAGTTAGTGAATAACTCTCTCCCTCCCTCCCCACCCTCGTAACCATCAAAGAATGTTTTCTTCTGGGTTGAAACCTTTTCTTGAGTTCTTACATTTGTCTTTCTGTGACTGAATTCACTCAGCATAATGATCTCCAGATTCCTTCTTGTTATGTTTCACGGCTTCATCGTTGTTCTTTATCGTTGCGTAGTATTCCATTGTGTGGATATACCATAGTTTGTTTATCCATTCATCCATTGATGGGCACCTAGGTTGTTTCCATCTTTTTACTATTTGTGAACAGTGCTGCAGTGAACCATGGGTGTTCATATATCTATTCGTGTGACCACTCTTATTTCTCTAGGATATATTCCAAGGAGCAGGATTGCTTGATCATATGGTACTTCTATTTCTAACTTTTTAAGGAAGCGCTAAATTGATTTCCAAAGTGGTTGTACCATTTTACATTCCTACCAACAGTGTAAGTGTTCCAGTCTCTGCACAACCTCTCCAGCATTTATTATTTTGTGTTTTTTGGATTAAGGCTAGCCTTGTTGGGGTGAGATGGTATCTCATTGAGGTTTTGGTTTGCATTTCTCTAATGGCTAATGATCCATGAGCATTTCTTCATGTGTTAGCTGCCTGAATGTCTTCTTTGGTGAAGTGCCTGTTCATATCCTTTGCCCATTTTTTAATTGGGTGATTGGTCTTTTTGTTGAGATCTCGCAGTATCTTGTAGATTTTAGAGATTAGATGCTGATCAGAGTTGGGTTAGCCAAAAATTTTTTCCCAGTGTGTAGGTTGTCTTTTTACTCCTTTGGTGAAGTCTTTTGATGAGCACAAGTGTTTGATTTTTAGAAGCTCCCAGTTATCTAGTCTCTCTTCTGGTGCTTGTGCATTGTTACTTACGGTTCGTATTCTGTTTATGCCATGTATTAAGGCTCCTAGCGTTGTCCTAAAAAGCTTTTTGAGTAATTTTGATGGATCCCTGGTTAAAGTCACTGCTTAAGCTCCTATGTCCCTATTCTGCAGCTTTGTTAAAGTTATTTTTAAAAATGTAATTCCTGGATCTATCTTTTTTTCCTGACAAACTGCTTTAAAAAGTAGCTTTCCAATGTAAATTAATAGGTTTCCTAACTGTATGATATTTCTTTGACGTTAGAGTGTCTCATTTAAGTTTATCAGGTTCTGGTTAACTAGGATATTACTCCCTTTCAATAGCAGTTTTTTTATGTATTTGAGTTAACCATATAAAACATTTCAGATTGAAATGTACTAATAATTTCTAGCATTCAGTATTTAGGCTTAATTTAGATACCTTTTATAAGAAGTTGTGAAATCTTGGTCAGCCATTATGACAATTGACAACACTTGATAATTATGTTGAAGTAGTAGCTTAAAGTTTTAAAATTAAAGCCAAAATTCAAATCATTTGATTTTAAAATTTATAGCTACCGACACCGTAGAACAGAGCAAGAAGAGGATGAAGAACTACTAACAGAAAGCTCAAAAGCAACCAATGTTTGCACTCGATTTGAAGACTCACCATCATGTATGTTATATATGTATATATATATATGTTGTATTACTTGATTTAAAAAAACAACTCCTTTTTAGACTTTCTTTGATGAATGTTTTGAATTTGTCTTAGGTGTAATTTATAAAGGGGATTTTTAGTAATCTTTTCAAATTAATGGTTGTGAAGTAAATGTTAGTTTTGTTTTTTTTTTAAGATAGACACCATAGTATATTAGTGTGATGAAACCAAAACCAAACTCGTTGCTGTTGGCATCAATTCTGACTCATAGCGACCCTACAGAATGGAGTAGAACTGCCCCATTGGGTTTTTAAGAAGTGCTTGGTGGATTTGAACTTTGGACCTTTTGGTTAGCAGTCGAACTCTTAAAACCACTATGCTGCTAGGGTTTCTGTTAGTGTGATAGTGGTGCCTTATTTCAAAAGTGTACAAAATGCCTTTATGTTTGTAATTGCTCTTAGGTATATGTAAAGCTAGGAATGGTGTTTTGCCTTATATTTCATCCAGATAAAACTACGTGTTTAAAAAAAAAAGTCATGATTACTTCTGTTTACTCATCACCTGATGCTTTTATGTTAGTTTTTAATTTTTCTGAAATGTTTTCTGCTATTAATGGTTTTCCAAAAGAAAACATAGTTAACAAGGTTTAAGTTATACCTATAAATAATTTCAGTTGGTGGCACAGAAACTTCCCTTTGTCTTTGTTGAAGCCTAGCATTTTTTTCCCATCTGTGTGATGACTGGTTTGTGTGAATATGGAAGTTGTGAGCACAAAAAATATATAGAAGTTAATATAGGGTATGATTTTTGGGTTTATTTAATTATTGTAACCTCAAACTGTTAGCAAACTGAATTTGAGCCAGATAGTTTATCTGGTTAGAAATTCAGCAGTCTGTTCTAACATTTTCTTTTGGCTACAGAGTACTCAGTTTTCTTTTTTTTTTTCCATGAAGCTAGAAGCCAGGGTGTGGTACAGGGTGGAAAATTGGATTATTTGGGTAATTTCTTTCTTATATTCCAGCTTTGTAACTAGTTTCCCTAGCACTGGTTAGCTTTTCATCCTAAAACAGTGGTATTTGAAAGGTACTGGAGTAGAGAATGTACATGTTTTTTTAAAAAAATGAAAAACCAGGTGATTGTGATGCGTATACTTGGTACTTATCATGGGAGCGGGGTTGATGTGTAGTATACCCTCCGAGAGATGTTGTCTGTCTTTACAGGACTTTTTGGAAAGTAACTTAGGAAGGATAAAAGAAAAAGGGATCTTTTTATTTCCTTTCTGTTTTCATCTTGGCTTTGCTAGCAGGAAAACAAAATCCCCAGAGAACCTCTGTCTAAGTTTTCTCGAAGGGATAAAAAAACTTGGTTAGAAACACTTATGATAACATTAAAAGGGGAATTAAAAAGGCCAGTCAGTATTTAGAGCCAATATATGGATAACAAAGGAACTGAGTGACTGGGATGGTACCCTGATGTCTGCAAGGTGTGAATGATTGGGTTGGGTACTCGAATGCCTACAGTCCCTTGTCCTTCACTTGATTATTTTCCATGTCCATAACTTCCTATTCCACTCCAGACCACAGCAGCTACCTCTAGTGACTTAGAACTTGCAAAGTTTTCTATTCTTAAAGCCTAGTAAAGTCAGAGTAGACATGTGCAGCTCCAGGTTAAAACTTTTGAGTATCAGGTGAAGAGGACTGCCTACCTGTATTTTTTTGTCTTTAAAATGTGCATTATGTTTTATCTTTTGTTCTCAGATGTAAAATGGGGTAAATTGAGAGATTATCAGGTCCGAGGATTAAATTGGCTCATTTCTTTATATGAGAATGGCATCAATGGTATCCTTGCAGATGAAATGGTATGTGATGGGTAGTTTCTTCAAGGCCACGTTTTGTAATTGAAAATGTTTTAGACCACTGAGTTTGTAACAAAGTTATGGAACAATAGAACGTACGGTTTTATTGATTGCAATCTAGAACTGTTACCAAACTTATCCTCTGTCAAACCGGTATCAGCAGTTTGCTTTAGCTGCACAGTAAGATTTTAAATTGTGAGGAATTACCATCTGTGAAAGCATAAGAATTTAAAAAATACATTCTGGGAAACAGGCTTTTGGTTACCTTTTGTAATAGAATGATCCCAGTTATGCAGCTAAAAGCAAACAGCTGATACCAGGTTGACTGTTTTCTCTAGTTCCATAAAATGTAACTGAGGTCATCAAATGTTTAATGTATCAACAGTAAATAATTTCTTCCAGAGTGGCAACTCTTACAGTTACAGTTCTGTCTCATACTTTTCAAAACATTTTAATTCTTGTTTATTGGTTATATACTGAATTACTTATATAATGAATGTTTTCAAAAGTTTTCTTATAGTGCTAAAACACTTAATTGCTTGGAAAAAGCATGGAGTCAGGATGAAACGGGTTTCAATTCCAGCTCTGCTATGTGACCTTGGGAAAGTTACTTCAACTTTCTGGGCCTTATGAGGATGATAATAATAATATGTCCCTCGTAGACTTGCTAAGATTAAATGACACAGCACAACTGGACACATACTAAGTTCTTGCTGTATGTTAGCTATAATAAATACATAGTTTTTTTTGTTTTTCTTTTTAGTGTTCTTATATATATCAGAATGTATAAATATGGGGAACTTTTTACTTCTTTTCATTTCATTGTGGCTGTTCTGAAATCTTTCAGGGCCTGGGAAAGACTCTTCAAACAATCTCTCTTCTTGGGTACATGAAACACTACAGAAACATTCCTGGTCCTCATATGGTTTTGGTTCCTAAGTCTACATTACACAACTGGATGAGTGAATTCAAGAGATGGGTACCAACACTTAGATCTGTTTGTTTGATAGGAGATAAAGAACAAAGAGTAAGTTTCTAGTATTTCATTAAATTTCTTATATTAAAAATATGAATTCAGGCTTGGGGGAGGCGAATAGCTGGAGGAGGGATAAAAGAAAAAGGCATCTAATAATAAACTTGGTCTTTACAAGTGTTAGTGATTTAGGAATTTACTATTATCTTGATGGTTAAGAATTACACTGGGTAAAAGGGGTATGGACTGTAGTCCGCTATAACACTGTAGTTGGTTTCTCCACTTTTTTGTAATGGTTGTATAATTTCAGAAGTCTTTGTTTTCATTCTAGAAGTATGTTTCTGAAAGAGGTTTTGAGTGTGTGAAACCAAAAAAAAACCCAAACCCGTTCCTGCCGAATCAGTTTGACTTATAGCGACTCTATAGGACAAGGTAGAACTGTCCCAGAGTAGCTAGTGGATTCGAACTGCTGACCTTTTGGTTAGCAGTGGTAGCTCTTAATCACTGTGCCACCAAAGGGTCAGATTTTTTAGACTGATTTGTATAATGGTATTAGTCACAGAACAGTAGTTTAAAACTTTCTGAAAAATGGACTGAGTTAATTATAATGATTAGATGAATTTGTGTGATTTCTACCAAAATAAGCTAACATGTAGATCGGTTGATACAGATCCTTTTTTGGAAGAAGACATGGAAATAATGGCAGTACTGAGAGTATATAGCTCAGATTTAAAAATTTATTTATACTATATTGAAAGATTATATACTTCTTTTATTTTGTTTTTCCTTCATTCAGCTAACAGTGGTTATTCTAGATTTTTTTCCCCTCTTTTTATACTTTGTTTATTTTAAGTTACCAAATTGCTTTTTATGATTTGGAGGCATCTACTTTACTTAACTACTCTCAGTTTCTTCACCTATAAAATGAGAAGAATAATAGAATCCACCTCACAGGGAAGGTTGTGAGGTTTAAATACGTACGTTAATACATCTGTTAAACCTGAAAGTAATGAAAATGTTTCTGTCCTTCAGCCGTCTTCATTTCATTTCAGAAACTTCTCTGTGCCTTGTCCAAACTTGTCTCCTAAGAATTTCAGGACCTAATGGAATTGTGGAAAGAAGACCTTTTAAGTTAGCCATGATTAACTCTGTCGATACATTTTGGCCATGATTAACTCTATCAATAAATATATTTTGACCAAATGGCTCTGACATTTAAATGATTAATGAAGTTACGTTAGCTGGTTCTAGATGCTTGCATAATGTAACTACTCTAACCCTTTTAGTATTCCCACTCTCTTTTACATATTAGATTACTTATTATTTGTGTATTTAAAGAACAGGTAATTTCTGCATGAAGTAATTTTTTCCCCTTTGCTACACAGGCTGCTTTTGTCAGAGACGTTTTATTACCAGGAGAATGGGATGTATGTGTAACATCTTATGAAATGCTTATTAAAGAGAAGTCTGTGTTCAAAAAATTTAATTGGAGGTACTTAGTTATAGATGAAGCTCACAGGATCAAAAATGAAAAATCTAAGGTAACTTGGTATTTAATGAAAATCTTTGTGTATATTCAAGATTTTGATCAGTATGCAGAATATTGTAATGATGAATTTGGTTCTTTTCTTTCAGTTGTCAGAAATAGTGAGGGAATTCAAGACTACAAATCGACTATTATTAACTGGAACACCTCTTCAGAACAATTTGCATGAGCTCTGGTCACTTCTTAACTTTTTATTGCCAGATGTCTTTAATTCAGCTGATGTAAGTATTTCTAATTGTTTTCTGGTTAGAATGATGATGTTTTGTCTAGTACTATATATTTTGTAATAGAATTGGCTAGCCTTCCAGCACTGCTGGAAATAAATAATGGTTAATTTTTTATGCTTTTATGTAGTTGGCCTGGTATAACCTGCTACAGTTTTTGTGAATTCTGAGAATTCGCTTTTGTGACTTTTGACTTTAAACTCATTTTAAATAATTGTTTATCTGGAATGGCATGGATTCTCATTCCAATTTGATGATCATGTTTGTCCAGCTTTGTTTCAGTGGCTGTAGGTTGACTGCTTAGGTTTTTAAGGTGCTACTCAAAGTATTTCCCAAGCGAATTTTTGAAACCTTGCATTGCCTTTTTTAAGTCCAGCTCTCCCAAAGATGGCCTTCAGATTTGGTGAAATCATTCTAGCCACTTACAGAACCTAATTTTTACCTTTACAGATTATTTGCAATGATAGAAATGGTTAATTAGCTATTTGAACTGTTAATTGTACCTAGGAGCATAATATATGTGTTGAGAATAAGTGCTATTGGTAATGGCAGTTTTTTGCTGAACTAGAGATCAGTTTTGAGCCTTTGCTGTCATAGCTGGGGTGTGTGTGTGTGTTTATGTGTCTGCCCTTGAAGCTTCCCACTAGTACATTTATACAAAGTTCTAAAAAGATGGTAATTTTGTTACACTAAGGATCATTTTAGAACAATAAATTTGTTCTAGAAAAAAATTGAATCAGTAGCAGAAAGTAACTTTATTTCTGCTTTTACATATTTCGGTATTTTTGTTTTTGAGATTTCATTTTCTAACTAGTCTGACCTTTTCATTTATTTAATAGTCTCTGTTAAAGCTTTGTCTTAGTAAACATAATGAATTCTAAGATTATGTTTAGTAAAAAAGCATATATTTGATAATATGTTTAGGAGGTAAAGACAGGAAAAGTATCCTTGTTCAAATCCTACCCAAATACTAATGGAGTGCTGGTAACCTCAGTTTCACTTTTAATGTGTTTCTTTAATTAAAATTGACATTGCTCTGTGAAAACTTTGTATTTAAGTAGTTGTGAGTAGTCTGCTTAGAAAACAAACTATGAAATATTTTTCTTTTAATTTTTAAGCTTTCATGAGGCTGTGAGAGAAGAATATTTTTAAGAATATTAATTTTTTAGTTATTTCTATAAAACTAGCTTTATTTTCACTGTCAACCTTGTCATCTTGATGTTTTTTAGAAAAACGTTTAGGCAGTAATTATGATTCTTAAACTGGTTCTAAAATTTATTGTTAATGAAGTGCTTATAAAAACGGGCTTGGACTAAATGATTTCTGTGGCTTACAACTCAAACAATTCTAGAAGTCTGAAAGTTTTATCTGGAATAATACTGTATTTGTAGTTAAAATTTTATCTCTTAAGGTGATTTTTGTTTGTTAATTTAGGACTTTGATTCCTGGTTTGATACGAACAACTGCCTTGGGGATCAAAAGCTAGTTGAAAGGCTTCATATGGTGAGTGTTTTGGAATAGTGTTGAATTATATTTCTAATGGGAAAATGGTAGAGAATTAGTGGACTTTTTTTTTCTTTTTTTTTTTTTTTACTGTTACCGCAAACAACAAAAACAAAAATAGTGTAGTGAATGAGCGCTTGATCTTTAAGAATCAGATATTTGAATCCTACCACTCAATTTTTTTAACATTTCCACCTTCTATTCCATTTTTTATGTTGAGCTTTAATACATTAGGATTACTGACCCCTTTGTCAGTTTTCTGTAAACATTATGGTAATTCTATTCGCTGTCTTTTCTTATTGTTGCTATGTCTAGAATCCCCTTGCCAGCCCTTTTCACTAATACCTATCCCAAGACCCAGGGGTGACACCACTCAGGCTGAGTATTCCGTTTTTAATAATCTGGGCATTCAAACATTATAGGATTTTGAACAGAGTATTGAAGTGGTTAATTCACAAGTGTTTTTTTCCTGCTGGATTGTAAACACAATGTGAATGTGTCTTTGTATCCATAGCACAGTGTCTGCCTCACATGGATACTTCAACAGGGAAAAACATGAAGCTTATGAACACACATTTCTTTCTATATAAATTAATTTTAAGATACTTTAAAGTTTTTAATGTACTGAAGTTTAGTTTTGTTAAATATTTGAAATAAGGTGATAATCTCCTAGGCACCTTTATTTCAATTTAGATGGCATTCAGGCATCTATGCATTCAGTTTAGATTTATTTGAAGGATTATGGAGTGTACATGTAGTTTTGTGGGTAGGAAGTGAGACATAGGGACTTGGTTTTTATTATTGCCTTATTTATTTACTGTATTCCCCTTGACTTTCCTTTAATAAATTGGTAGATACATAGGTAGAACAAATAAACCAAAACAACCTATACAACAGAATCAACCAATTACGGCATTACTGTGTGCGTTTATTTTATTTAGAGGGTAGCATGGAGATGCTTATCAATTTAAGGAAGAGAGGTCTGGTTGCTACTTCTGTGCTGTGACCTGCATTTTACTCTGAAATCCTACCATAGCTTCTGTTGTTCTGTGATGAAAGGGGAGGCTCAGAAATCCACATGGGCATACTTAAGGATGAGAAATTTTACTTGATGGATCAGTTATCCATTATCTGATAAATGTCTGCAAAATACCCCATCCTTCTCACCCCTCCAAAAAATTTTAATAGTTTATATTTTAATAACTTCAGATTTTATGAGTTGGCTGGGTAGTTTCTTTGCTAGATTCACCTGAGTTTATTCATTCAGCCGCATTTAGCTTGACAACTCTGAGAGAGGGCTAGTGGGGCTGAAGATGTTCATTCATATGTCAGGCAGTTGGTATTGGCTGTTGGCTAGGGCTGTACTAGCTTTCTTACATGGTAATATTTAGGGAAGTGTTCCTGATTATTTTTATCACAATTTTTAATTTTTTTTTTTTTGATGATACTATCAGTATTTTTGTAAGTCAGTGCAAATAGAACAAAAGAAGGTATAAATAAAAAAATTGGAAGATCTTTTTAGTTTTGTAGGTGCTTTAAAATTTACTCTTATGAAAGTAAATAAACTACTACTACACATAGCATGGATATGTCTCACAAAATGTAAACTAAAGGAAGCCAGACAAAATGTGCATGTATTGTATGATTCCATGTATATAAAGTTAAAAACAGGCAGAACTAATCTATGTTGTTTAAAAGGTAGACTTTTGCTTACCCCTGGGGAGGAAAGGGAAGATAGTAACTGTGAAGGGGGCACAAGAAGGATATCTAGGGTGTTCTGTTTGTCTAGATGAGGGTTACATGGGTATTTTTACTTTATGAGGATTTATTGAATTGTACACTCACAATTTGTATATTTTACATATGGTATATTTCAATTAAAAAAAAAAAAAGTAAATTACATGTAGACCTAGCCATTTCTTAAATGTTAGATAATCTGTATATCAGTTGTTAGCTTTAAACCTGAAAAGCAGTGAATGTCGAAAACATCATCTTTAAAATTTATTAGTTTTAAGTACTTTATGACAATATAAAAAGTACGTACTCATTATATGTGTTGAATAAATAATATTCTTGTATTATTACCCTTTGGGAATCAAGTAGTAATTATACATTTTGAAGAGAGAAGTCACTTGACATTCAAGCAGAGAAATTTTTTTTCCATGTATTTGAAAGGCAGTTTTGAGGTCCTCAAATAACACCTGTGTTACAGATAAGGTCATCTTTGTGGGTTTTTTTTGCCCTTTTAAGGTCCTGCGTCCATTCCTCCTTCGTCGAATTAAGGCTGATGTTGAAAAAAGTTTGCCTCCAAAGAAAGAAGTAAAAATCTATGTGGGTCTCAGCAAAATGCAAAGGGAGTGGTATGTCATCTGTGATATATTTGATATCACTATTGATTTTTCACTAACTTTCATTTGTATTTTGTTTTTGTAATTTGTGTCTTCAAGGAATTCCTGTTTGCTGCGTTGAACCCAGCCTTGCTTATCAAATGTATGGATGATACAAAGTCTTGAACCTGTTAGATGACAGAATCAGGGTGTGAGGTGTATGAATCTAAAAGGATGAAATTAAACATATAAAGCTCAATACTTGGGTTCTTTTAAAAAGTAAGGTGGTGATGGCATAGATAGGGCACATAATGGCTTATCTGGATGATACTTAAATACTCAGTTATAGATTAGTCTCTGATGCAAATTTTTGATAGTTCTCCTGTTCCTCATAAAGCTAAACGTGGTTTAAGACTCTCCATTCTGAGTTGATGTTTCAAGCATGATGAAGTATCTTTTTATGAAATAATGATAACACTTGGTAGCTGTTTTTAAACATCCTCATAGGGTAAAATTAATAAGATGAAAA